GAAACCTGGTATTAAATAGACTTGCCAGCATTAACTTGTGAGCTCTAAGCAAAGATAGCCTAGGCAGAGTAAACAGCTTGGGAAACCACACAGGGCCTTGGGAGAATCTGGGACATGTCGGGGCCACAAGTGATTCTTCCCAGCTGATGTGCAGAGAGTCTTCCAGGGAAGTATCAGGGGACCCCTGTGCATGGCAAACAGCGCACCTGGAAGGAATATCACAGGGGCAGTGACATAATCAGATCTAGGTTTCAGAAAGATCATGCTGGCCAGGGGGTGGAGAAGAGACAGGAGCGGCTTAGCCAGAAGGCCTCCCATCAGTAAGGCTGCCACTGCAAAGGGCTCCCCTTAATGCTGTATCATCAACAACCTTAGGTAAGTGTCAGGATCTTTACATACCTTAGTTCATTATAGCTCACAAAAAGGCAGCTGTCTCAGATTACAGACGAGGAGGCTAAGGCCAATGGAGGCCAGAGGTGGCAGGGCTGAGATTTGAACTCAGGATTAGTTGAATCAGTAGCAACGTGGGGTGGTTCCTGATTCGCTTCAGGAGCAGGGTAGAGTGGACTAACTGGCCACGAGGATGCAAGGGCAGCCCCTCGGATGCAAGGGCAGCCCCTCGGGGTTAGACGCCCCGGGGTGCCAGGCCCGCTGCTGTGGATGAATGGCCCCAGCGCCCTCCCCTCCCGCCCAGGTTCCGGCAGCTGCTGGCGGAGCAGGAGCCCGAGGTGCAGGAGGTGTCCCAGATTTTCCGCTCGGTGCTGCAGGAGGTTCTGGAGAGGATGAAGCAGGAAGAGGAGGCCCACAAGCTGACGCGCCAGTGGAGCCTGCGGCCCCGCGGCAGCCTGGCCACCTTCAAGACCCGCGCGCGCATCTCCCCCTTCGCCAGCGACATCAGGACCATCTCCGAGGACGTGGAGCGGGACGCGCCGCCGCCACTGCGGTCCTGGAGCATGCCTGAATTCCGGGCGCCCAAACCCAACTGATCGCGGCCGCTCCCCTGCCCAGAAGCGGAGCCGTCTGCAGGGGAAATGATAGGCCGGTGACTGGAGCGCCGGGCCCTGGAACCTCCTCACCTAGCCCTGAAGAGGAGACCCAAGAGGCGGCCGCATCCCAAGACGCTGCTGTAAAATGAAGCTCCATCTTCCTCCTCTGGCCACAAAGCCGAGTCAGGTCGTAGAGCGGCACCGCCTTCGCCCTCTCCTGCGCGAGTCTGCGGGAGCAGCCCCTTCCCTAACTGGCAGATTCAAGGTTTTGAAAGACAGACCATTGCCCCATCCTCATCTCCTGCTTCTGTCTAAAAGGGGACAGTTGCCCTGCCTTTTTGCAAGACCTAGATTCTCACCCCAATTTCAGGGATGTCTCATTCACTCCCCTACCCCCATCCCCAGTGCTAAGGGACCTGTTGAATGGTATCCATTCTTGCTAGTGACTGGCTGAGCTCACCACTGCAGACGGGTCACAGCCTTATGGGCAGGCACAGCTGGAAGGGACCAGACAGACAATTAGATCCACTCTTTTCAGCTAGTAAATGTGGAACTTGAGGCTCAGACAGGGACACTTGTTTTGCCTTTAACTGCAGCCAGCTGCTCATGAACAGTGAGATTGTTCCTGCAAAAATAGTGTCTGTTCTTGAGTTTGGAATCCTGGGCTATGAAAGGACAGATCCAAAGGCTACATCTCTACCTACCTGTGGCCTGATCCATCTCTTACCTTGGCACTGGGATGAGAATCTCAGCTGCTCTCCAAGAAGTGTAGCTAGGGGTGGAGGTAGGTTACTCATTACCCCACACCACAATGTCATCACATGGTCTGTGGCCAGTCCCGAACAGCTTCTTTCAGAGGCTAAGCTCCAAGGTCTTCAGATGCTCCTCTAAAAAGCCCAGGCTTCTCAATTCCAGGGTGCCCCTTTCTGCAGCTGGTCACACCTGCTCTCTGGCTTTCTCCAGAAAGCGATGCCCAAACCCCTGACTGACCTTGAGGCAGCTGAGTGAAATGTTCTAGAAGAGCTTCCTGCAGACTTCATTGTCCTTCCATTTTCTAACACGGTTAGGCCTTGATGATGGGTATGTGGATTACCCAATGTGTGGATCACCCATGGAAAATCTGGAAGGCCAGGAGGCCTTCCCACACACTCTGGGGTTGAAGTGGGGTGTGAGGGGGATGGGCGGGGAAAGTGTCTACCCTCAACTACCAGTGCACATGTGGAAAATGCAAGTGGACCTTAATAGTAGCCTAAATAAAATGCTAGGAGGAGATATAATCAACAGGGGGGCGGGGGGGAATCTGTGTATTCCCTCAGTGGAAAAAAAGTTTTTTTGAATGATTTGGTTTTGAACTTCCCTTTTGAAGATTTTTTGGATTTTCACTTGAATCTGAACGGAGAATCATAGGATGGTGGGAAACCTCTGATCCAACACTATCAAGAAGAAACAGTTGATTGGCTTATTAATATAATTGGTAGATGTGAGAATCACTTAAAATAGGTATCTTAAACATCTTACATATTTTATCTGAAGACATAAAAAAGTTCACTTGATTGCCAAATTATTTTTATTTTTATCTATTTATTTATTTATTTATTTATTTGAGACTGAGTCTCACTCTGTTGCCCAGGCTGCAGTGCAGTGGCGTGATCTCAGCTCACCACAACCTCTGCCTCTCGGGTTCAAGCGATTCTCCTGCCTCAGCCTCCTGAGTAGCTGGGACTACAGGCACGTACCACCACGCCCAGCTAATTTTTGTATTTTTATTGTATTTTTCGTAGAGACGTAGTTTCACCTTGTTCTCCAGGCCCGTCTCAAACTCCTGACCTCCAGTGATCCACTCGCCGTGGCCTCCCAAAGTGCTGGGATTACAGGCATGAGCCACTGTGCCTGGCCGACAAACTTTTGATGTAGGTCCAAGCTATGCTTTTCTGTGACCTATATGTTTTGTCTGGTGGGAGTTCTACACTTACGTTTTCTTGGTTTGCACTTTAATCATAACAAAAATAAAAACTGGCATAAAAGTTTTGGAACAAGCAGAAGTGACCCTGGGTAAGCAGACTGCTCAGCTGGTAGGGGCAAAAGTGCTGGGGGAGAATTAGAAAAAGGCCTCCACATTGTGAGCTTTCCCGGTGCCCTGGATATGGGTCAGCAAATGTTTTAGAGGAAGTGGTTAACCTGGAGAGAGATTCAAAGGAGGCTGGATAAGAGAATGTCTATTTTTCTCCTTCCCTATCACCTCACATGTACCTATTCTCCCCAAAGACAAGGAAGACCTTACGTTTTCAATGTGGTGTTCTTTTTTAAGCTTAAGTAACTGGCTGCCAATGAAAACCTTCCCTTCCAATCACAGGCATGTGGACAGAACCCACCAGCCTCCTCAGACACTGGTTGTCCTACTACAGGCAATCCCAGCTGGTGGCTCTCAAATTCATGTGGGTCCGGAAGTTGTTCCTCTGGATTCAGGTTGTTAAAGGGACTAATGAGATCTGCTTCCATTTATATTTTTAAAAACTCAATAACCACAAATAAAAGAACAAAAAGTTTGAGAGTGTCCTTGTAAGTATCTGATGAGTGGCTGGCGGTATTTTGGAGCGGGGACAGGTTGAGTGTGTTCAAGACTGCCGCAGCCAGCCTGTTTGCACCCAGCTCAACACCACCAGCCACTAGAGGGCATGGGAGGGAGGCTTGTACTACTTTGTGACTACATTTTTTTTTTAAACTTAACTATGAAAATCTTCAAACACACAAAAATGTAGAGGGAAAAGTTTAAGAAGCCCCATATATCTATCATGAAAGTTTAATAGTTACTAACATTTGGCCATATTTTCTTTATTTTTGTATGTGGAGTATTTTAAGATAAATCCCAAGATGTTGTGACACTTTACCCCTGAATACTTCAGTATGCACTGCATAGGAATAAGAACTTCTTCCTGTATAACTATACTACCATTATCACTCCTAACAAAATTAACAGTAATTCTTTAATATTACCTAACGCCCTGTCCGTATTCACATTTCCCTGTTCCCAAGAAATGATTCTTGCCGTTTATTCCTTTGAACAAGGATCTAATCAAGCCCCATACATTGAGAAGAAAGTTGCAGTTTGTTTTATTTTTGTTGTTGTTATTTTATTACATTTTATTTGCAGCTTGTTTTACAGTGGTCATATAGTATTATGTAATTCCATAATGAAGCATTGTTTAAAGATAGAGTGCTTATGGAACACTCATGTTAACATGCAATAAGCTAATGACTGAACATAAATGATAAAAATTCTGCAAATTAGCCTAATGATACTCTTTACTCAGATCCTTGTCATATTATTTGATTAAAATTCTTCCACAGTTGGCACCAAGATTCCTTCATACTTTGAAAAGTAATGTTAAAAATTGACAGTGGGCCAGGCACGGTGGCTCACGCCTGTAATCCCAGCGCTTTGGGAGGCCATGGGGGGCAGATCATGTGAAGTCAGGAGTTTGAGACCAGCCTGGCCAATATGGTGAAACCCTATCTCTACTAAAAGTACAAAAATTATCCAGGCATGAAAACACATGTCTGTAATTCCAGCTACTCGGGAGGCTGAGGCAGGAGAACCTCTTGAACCCGGGAAGTGGAGGTTGCAGTGAGCTGAGATGGCACCACTGCACTCCAGCTGGGTGACACAGCCAGACTCCGTCTCAAAAAAAAAAAAAAAAAGTTGATAGTGACAATTATATATAATCTGACTTTTCATTTGATGAAAATCCTTGTCACATCATATATTTTATTTTCTAGGACCTGCTTGCAAATAGCAACCTAAAACCTTCTCCCCTTTTCTTGCCATTTAGGAACAAAACACTAACATTTATCAAAATAACTCAGCGGAAATCTTAAGAATTCCAATAGCAGATAATGAAAAAAGTTTGTCTATTTTTGATGCCATTGTTCATCACATAGTTAAATTTCAGTCTATGTCTTAATATTCATATGGTCTCCCAACAAAACACAATGTTACTTCAAAATTTATTCATAGACAAATTATTTTTATTTTATGTATGTATGTATGTATGTATGTATTTATTTTTGAGACGGAGTCTTACTCTGTCACCCAGGCTGGAGTGCAGTGGCCGGATCTCAGCTCACTGCAAGCTCCATCTCCCGGGTTCATGCCATTCTCCTGCCTCAGCCTCCCAAGTAGCTGGGCCGGCTAAATTTTTTGTATATGTAGTAGAGACAGGGTTTCACCATGTTAGCCAGGATGGTCTCGATCTCCTGACCTCATGATCCACCCGCCTCAGCCTCCCAAAGTGCTGGGATTACAGGCGTGAGCCACCGCGCCCAGCCGACAAATTATTTTTAGACAATTATTTTGATTTATTACCTTGACTCATTTGTTAAAAGGGGAAATTGACATCTGTTTCCCTTTACAAATATTATTACATATTGCATCAAATTGGCATTATAATATTAAGGTGCTAAAGACAAAAACAAAAATTATTTCTTTATCGTATTCAAGGTAAAAATAATAATTTAAGTTTCTAAAAATGTGCAAGTTTTTATATAACTGTAAAAGCTGTTCACAAGCCAATAGAGGTTGGGAAGTGTTTTCTTTAACATTTTATTGTATTGCATTCCAGTTACAATTCCCTTGTTGGAACAAACACAATATTCTTAAAGCTCTGCAGTAAAACTTGGAAGTTTTCCAGCTCAATCTCCCATGTCAGCTAGGATTTGATTCAGGGAAAATTACATTCCAGTAACAAGTTGTTCCTCTCTGTGTGAACTGAGCACTGCTGCTAACTGCTTCGAAGCCACTTCTGGCACCTGGTCAGGGCCATAGGCAAATCCAGGGCAAAGGGGGATACAGTTAAAGTTAGCCTCTCCTTAGTAGAAAAGAAATCAAACCACTAGGAAAAAAAAAAAAAAAAAAAGGCTCCAAACTGCAAAAGGAACAGGGGAAATGTGTACTTTATCCAAATAAGCCAGCCCAATAATATTGCTATGGACAGAAAAGACTT